GGACTGTGACTGCAGCAGCAGTGATCATTACTCTGCATGTCTGTAATTGAGTGCATAAGCCCAAAATGTGTGACATTTTTCTCTTCAGTTGGACAATATTGGCTGTTTTGAAGGTCCATGCTTTGATGTGTGTTGTGTCATATATTTGACACTGTATTGTTCATTCTTATGAACTGAATAACAGAAAGTTGAAGATTTAACATGAATTATATTGAAGTATTTGTAGTCTTTGACCATTTTATCCACTTGCACATACTGAAATAAAGGCTTGTTCACTCTAATTCCTGTTATGTCTGTGTGGCACACAAAAAGCTGCTCCTATCACAGCTGAAAAGTTTCATTGTTCCATTTGTTTTTCATTATGCAGAAAATTCTTAAATTGGATCATTTTCAAAGGGGGAACTTAACCATAAATGCAGGCCTGCAGCTGTCTCAAAATATAACTTGCATTTGTATTCATTTCTCACACTTCAGAGGTAACTTTGGAGAATTGAGCTTGAATTTGTATTCTTAACAGAATCCCATTGTCCTGAAGTGAAGTAAAATGAAACTGGTTCTTACTTTTTGTCATGAATACTTTTTACTTCTTCTATATACTTTGAGTGCAGAAATACATAATTTGGATAAAACTTAAGTAGATGGAAATACATTATTCCTATTTCATAGTGTACTTTTCTAACAGGAAAAAAGATAATTTCAATCTCCTGAGAACAATTATTTATTAAATGGTAAAGTTTGATCAAAATCTCTCTTCATGCTCCTGAATAATTGAGATGTGCATTAAAGTTGAACCGGAGTTTTAAGAATTAAAAGAAATCTTTATTATACAAAATGTAAGACTATGGACTAATGATACTCCAAGATTTGTAGTGTTATTTAAAAGCAAATGTAAGGGAAACATCAAAATTAACATCAAAAAATAATGCTGCTAATTAGCATGTTCTGGTTTTGTGTTCATGCTGATTGGCTCATCCCTACCAAACCAGTTGCTAATTTTCCTTTTGGTTATCACATGGTTGGGCATTGATTTGAAAGTATGTAACAAACAAGAGCATCTTGTGAGGGAAGGGAAGTCAGAAATACATTTATACAGTAGAATTACAGTAATACAGATGTAATAGTTTTTCTATCACCCTTTTTTCCCCCCTGTAATGCTTACTTAGCTGATAAATGTCACAGGAGCTTCCTTAGTGTAGCTTCCTTTTGCAGTCCTTATGCTCTCCATCATTTTTTTCCATGCTCAAAACTTTGACCTTGTCCAGCCTAGGATTGATTCTTTACAGACATTCTCAGTATCCTTTGAAGTGTTCTGCTGCTGAAATGTCCTGAGTTCTCTTGTATCTTGTGCCATTTTTATATGTGGTTTAGTAGAGTTTTCACTGCTCACCTTCCCTTAGCATTATTCCCTTCCCTCTGGAATGGGACGAGGACTCACAAGGACTTTGACTTCAGTACTTTTGTATTTGTGGAGCTCTCATCAATAGAGTTCTCTGTCTTAGAATTCATTTTTCATTACGTATTCAGTCCAGCCTTCCAGGAAATGGGAGCCACATTTGCAGGCAAGATTCAGGAGTGACTTTGTGTAGGGAATATTCTTCCTGATGTTTAATCTGGAATTCTACAGCATGGATGCCATTGCGACAGGAGAAGGGTCTGTAATATCTCAGTCAGGATCACTTGCTGCCAGCTGTACTGGAGACAAAGAAATAAATCCTCAACATACCAAACTATATTTTGCATCAGAAAAGAGAAGCACCCACACAGGACTTGTGCAGATCAGAAGGATGAGTGTTGATTACAGGCACTTGGTCTATGTACACTGGAGCTGGAGCAAGTTAGAATTTTGGCTTTTGTCCTTTCATTTCTTCAGGCTTTTGTATGTAAGTGGTGATGAGCTGTGTCAGTTGGTACCAGGCTGTTAGCAGGACTTGCTAACAGCATTCTTGACTCACAACTGCTTAAAGATTCTTAACCTGTTAAGAAACTTCTGGCTCAAACCCCAGTACCATGGGAGTAGGATTTTTCATTTAAGTATGCAATCATTAAACTTGTGCTTTCACATTGATTCTCTGAAGATTTTTGGCATTTCAGTAATATTACGTGAGCAGGTAGTAGACTGATAAACACTATTAAATTACTACTGTTATTGCTATTTCTCTCCAAATCTCTGACTTCAGACATGTTTGTGATGAGAAAACAACAGACTAATTCATTAAATATACATATTAACTGAAATTTTTCTTAGAGCTGCCATAGCTCATAGCTGCAGAAAGGTTACCAATCAATCTTTGTGCAGGAGACCCAAGTGGAAAGTGCTCCTAAATTACAAACAGAAACTACGTAAATTTTACGTTCAAGACAATATTAAAGTGAAATCTTCTGTCTACAAGTAAATATTCTAGCAGTGATTTTGATTTAGTCTGTACATTTTCATTACCCTGAAAATTATTTAAGTAGGTTAGAAATTGGATGATATCAGGAAAACAGGGGAATCAGAAAGGAAATAAAATTATTTAGTATTATACTTCTAAATTGATCTGAGAATAAACCCGAAAGTAGTCATTTCAGCTTTCTAGAACATGGCCCTAAGGTAACTATATGCCTTCAGTGACTAGACTAGGATGAGTTTATCCAAATAATTCTATATTTAGTATTTACTTTGTTTGATTTCCCAAGTGAATTTGCACTAAGTGTGTAGCAATCCCATGGCTTGGGAATAGAGTTCCCCTCTGAGAATACTATGAGAATACTGAGTTTAAATGTGTGCTGCATCATGAGCTTTAATATACCTTTCACAGTCTATTAGTTGATTGTCCATAAATTCAATATGGCACAGGGCTCCAAATGTTGTATTTTCGTTTCTTGCTGTCTAAATGAAATCAATATCTATGTACATAGAAGAACAGTAAGAAATTTTCCAATAGTTTTATCTAAGAAATCAATCTATGTTTTTGCAGTCCTGAAAAATTTCAATTACAGTGTACAGGATTCTTTAGTTAGTTAACTGTGGGTTACAGCTGAGCAGGTAATGTTAAACTGCATGATTCACCAAATCACATGTGCAAAGATAAGTGCTTAGTTAAATTAGGATTTCCATATTAAATAACTTAGTTTGAAATAATTTAACTTTTTTTTGTCATTCCTGCCCCCCACAGGGAAATTGAAACATGAATCTTGGGAATGTATACAGAATTCCAAACAATATACAGGTTGAAGTGAGAATAGGCAGGGAGAGGCCTTAGAGCTGGGTGAATAAAAATTTTATTATAATTTTTACTACATTAAATAAATTTGATTAGAATTATGCAAAATAGTTGCATTTCATATATTCCTTCATTTGCCTTCAAAGATGTACTCCGTTGTTAAAACAGATAGTCCTGTAGGTGTTTAATTACCCTGGCTTTATTTTTAAAGTGAAAAAGAAATCTGAATACTTCTTGCAGACTTACTATTGTGGTTCCATCATTACAGTATCTGAATTCTTGTTACCAGAACTAGTTGAATTTTTGTTTACGTATGCATTTGTAATTCACAATACTCTGAATCTTTTAAATTTAGATGTGCTAATTTTGGAATTATAGCATTCCTTTTTTGGAATGATAGTCTTCATGTAGAAAATGTATTAGTGTTTTCTACACTGAAATATTCTAATTTGACAGAAATTGCATGGTATCTGCATAATACCTTGTATTTTGTTGTGAAGAAGCCCCCTATAAATTTGAGAAACAAAGTGTCTGAAGAGAGAACTTCAGAAAGACCAAAGCATGGGCAGCGTTTGTGGGAGAAGACATTGACTTAATCTCTGAAATACCACCACTCCTTAGAAAAATGGAATTTTTTCTCTGAAGGACTTGCAGTATCTCAGAGAGAAGGACCATGCTTCAGTCACCAGGAAAAGCTGTGATCAGTGTTGAAATTGGCCACATCGAAATCCAAATTTTATTTTTATCTAATTTCCACAAAAATACAGTTGTTACTGCCCACTCTGTGTGACCATGGTTGCTGTTGCTTTTTTACATAAGTGTTCTCCTGATATTTGCCTTACAGTTTACTACTAAATTACTGGGGGGTTTTGGAGCTGCAAGGCAGCATCATCAGTACTGTTACAGTTTAATTCCTGATGTAAAATATTGAGATTATTAACATACACACACACATGCATGAATGAATAAACTGCAGATTGCATTGAAGGAGCAGAGGGAAAGGTCACTCTGGATCATGAGTTCTGATGCTTGGGTTAGAGTTTCTGACTTGTGCTGTTTCAGCATTCTTTTAAACTGTGCCATTCCCTAGGAAAGAGTGGAATTTCAGTTTTCTGTAAGTGTATTTCACTTCTGCATGACATTTTCCTAGAGAAAGCGAATATTTAGCATGTAATTGGTAATAGGCTCATGAAATAATGAGCAGCAAACAAAAACAGAATCACAAAAACTACAGCTGTGTTAAATTATACTTAATGTCCTATACAAGCAGAAAGAATGAACTGTGTTTATTTTCCAAACAATAAAATTTCTAGTTTAGTTTTCAATGTAATTTTGTTAGGAAGTAAATTAAGTTTCATACTTCGGATAAAATTAGGTTTTGCAATTCTGATGCTACAAAGCTAATTTACAAAGTTGAAAAACTGTGTTGAGGACATAAAAATCAATTTCATAGTGGTATTAAATTATTTTTTCCCTTTGGTCACTGGGTAGTAGAATATGCTGGAAACCATGGTAACAAGAAGTGCTGCCATGGTTGCCCCAGAGTCATGTTAAAATGAGCAAGCTGTGTTTGTCTTGATTAAAATAAGAGAAAGAGGAGGAGAAGGGAGAAGGGAGAGAATGAGGTAATGATGTGTACAAGAGCAAATGCAGTCTGACGTGGATCTGGGGCTGTGGGGGCCTGGAGCTTGTGGTGTCTCACATGAAGGTGCTGAGCCAGGAGGCTTTGGGGAGTGAAGGACACACACCAGCCCTGCTTGTCTTTACATTATTCCCTTCCCTGTCTGTGTTTTGCAGGTTTATATCAGGATAAAGGATGATGAGTGGAATGTCTATCGAAGGTATGCAGAGTTCAGAAGCTTGCATCAGAAATTACAGAATAAGTACCAGCAAGTGAGGACTTTTAACTTCCCACCAAAAAAGGCTATTGGAAACAAGGTATTTGAACTCACAGTATCAGTAAAAGTTGGGGGAAAAACCTCTCTTATCCATACACAAAAAATGAGGTGACTCGAATGTTTTCACTCCTGCTAGTAGCTGCTATTTTTAGAGACCTTCTCCCTGCCAGCTGGAGATCCACTGATGTAGGTAATGCATTGGCTCTTCCATTTACTGAGAAGTTTTATTGAATGAAATATTGGTGACATACACAAATGCACAAACCCTCAAAAACTCTAGTGGACAGCCCTGTATGTAAAATGAAGTACCTTCTCTATTTTTCTCAAAAAAAATGCCAGCAATTACCACTGGTGAGTAATTAATCAAATCTCTCTCTAAATTTCAAAAAGTATCAATCTAAATTTCTTGAATTCCTGCACTCTTCACCAACACTTCCAAGTTCCTTAAACCAGCTTTTAAAAGACATTTAGGTACTTAATTCCTATAATCTGTGTCTTTGTGTCTTAGCCCTGCCATTTTAAAATGGGAATTTGTGTTCTCCTGTCATATAGGGATTTTGAAATGAAACAGTAAATATTCCAGTATTTATGTAATAAATATGTAGTGCTGTATAATGAAAATCTTTAATCATAAAAACTTTCAACTGATCAAGAGTGTAAATACGCTTTGCAATGTACACTGCAAGTCCAGTAAGGATTGACAAGGAATTGAAGTAATTTTCCTTTGCAACGTAGGAATTATCTAAAAATTTTATTTAGCTATCACTATATTGAAGATTTAAATTATGTTTGACTGAAACATCTTTACTAAACTGCTGGGTTCTTAAATTAGAGTTTTTAAGATTAATCAATTTTTTTAGCTTTTACATAGACTTTCTCTTTTTACTATTTTTTCGCCTTCGTATCACTGAGTTCTTCTATTAAATATTTTAGAAGCTCCAACCATAGTGATCCATGCAGTCATCAAAAGACAGCTGACATAATGACTGCAAAACTCAGATCTTTGTGACATTAGGTTTGGTTTAAGACCAAAGTAATACATATATTATTAAAATGCCACAATTGTCCTTTGACTGTGTTAGAAAAACAATCTTTGCTAATTTGAATGAAGTAATATGAATTTTCAAAAAGAAATACAAAAAATTTAGAAATTCCTTACTGGCATTCAGATGTCAGTGAATGTGGATTATGACTGGTTAAAGATAGTAACTTTGACTCCCAGTGATTTCCCAGGTATTTTGTAAAAATGAGTAGGTAAATGTGGCATGTGTGAAATGGCAGTGATGCACATAATCTGGGATGGGTGGTGGTGATCCAGAAATATATGAAATCTATCAATAAAATCCATGTGTTGGTTTGCTTGGCATAAGGTCCAGTAAATGTGGTTTTTTGCCTACTGACTGAGGAAATGGAAGTACTTATGAGAGCTTTCCTGCTTTTTCTTCATCTATTAGAATATCATGCATTTTTCATTTAATTTTTACTGGATGGGTTTGTAATGGAAACCAGGCATTTGCTTCTTTGTTACATAACTAATTCTCCTTTTTTTTGAAGTGATGGAGTATCAGCCACTTCAGTAAATTACAAAAGACGCCTTTTAAGCTTTTTTGGATACTCTTTCATCTTTAATTACTTTAAATACTAATTGAGTTACAACTTCAGTTGCACAGTTGATGCATACAAAATTATCAGTTGAGCAACTCATTAAAAAATTTGCATTGCTTATTCTAACGGTGCTTTAGCTTTGAGCCAAAATTCTACCTTGATCTTGCATAAACCCACAACCACTTATCAGATCTCAGAGAAAAGGTTTTTTCTTTACAGTAAGAAGTGGGTGCCATCCCTTGCACTCCTGAAAGTCTCCTGTGATGACACGTGGGGCAGTGCTGTGGTTGTGACCTGGCAAGTCACAGGGTGACATTGTCACCTCAGCTGTGCAAAGCTCAGTCTGTCACACTGGAGTTTTTTTGCACAGCACATTGTGCAGGCAGATTTTTGTCCTTTTAGTGGGGCTGTTTTCTATGTGTCACAGAATGTGTTCCCCTTTGGAGTTTGTACCATTTGGAAAATAACTGTGCTGACTGACTGAGATGGCCCTGCTTTCCATGGCCAAGTGAAGGTTTAAAAGGAAGGTTTAAAAATTTAGTATAAAATTAATCAATTCATGTGGGAATGTGAAGGGGGATAGAATATAAGAAAATAAAGACAGTGTAGAAAGCAATCTCACCCCTAAGGAGCTGCAGCTGGGCCAATTATCAGAGATTAGGAACAGGCCTGACTTTAACAGGCCACAGCTGAGACCAATGAGAAGAAGATGCTATAAAAGAGTGGGGTGGGTGGGTGAGAAGGGAAATGGAGTCAGTGGCTGCTTTGTGAAGAAGAAAGAGTCAGTGCTGTGAGGAGCTGCCCAGGAGAAACACCAAGAAGGTTTGGAAATTTTGTGATAAGGAGACAAGAGTATGGAACCCCTGCCATACAATGACACAAGGAATGTCTCTCTTGGAATTCTGCAGAACTTTCAGTTTAGGATGAGGATTTGTGCAGGATGTTACATGTGGAAGTGTTTGGCAATGAACATTAGAAGGAATACTGCCATTACTATTTCTTTTTCAATGCTGCTTTTAAAATGTAGTGGCTACCAAGCACATTTACCTTTAAATAAGCAGTTAGATTTCAATAGGTACATTTTATCTCTAATATTACTTTTGCTGGTTTTGATAGAATTGGAGCTGTCTTTCCATTTCTAGATTAATCAATACAATTGTTAATCAATGCCTAAAGAAGAGGTTCAGCAGCTGAATTGGGCTAACAGAAGTATCTCTTACATTAGTCTATGGTTTTCATATCCATTACAACTTCTCAGTGTTACTAGATGCCCAAATAACATCTTGGTAAAAACCAGTCCTCCATGTGTAAATGGCTAAAAATGATCATTTTACAGCTTTTGGAAAATGGCATTGATGCTTTTATGTCCTTCAGGTCAGTACCTGGGTGAGTTTATTCACTGCATCCCTTCAGTGCACTCTGTACTGTGGGGTTAATGAAGGTGATGTGCTTCTTGTAGATGTCAGAGGCATCCAAAGGTCTTGCTGTAATTGAAACCAGCACTGAATTTCATGTTCAGTTACGTCCCCCAGATTTAGGAACCTCCAGGACCACAAGAGGACACCATATTCTGCAGAATGACCTGGAATCACTCCTGCAGACTGACACAATGCTCTCCAGTGCTTTGCTATGCAAAATATTGGAGCTCAGAGGAGGGAACTTTTCTAGAAGAGAGTAATGTAGAATAAAATACAGGGAGGTATTAATTTTCATGCATATTTTCCCTGTTTACTGCACTAGAAGTCAGGGAGGTCAGATTCAAATGCGAAGTTGCAGAGTTTGACTTTGTGAAAATGCAAAAAGAAAGCAGAATTTCAGCTGAATGAGTATTATAAAAAGTTGGAAAATCAAATATTATATATCTTCATCAAGTAGCACTGGAATTTGAAAATACTTAACAATTATAACTCATTATTAACAATAATATCAATCTTGATCATTGTTTGTAATGTATTTTTGCCTTTCATTTGTTTTCCTTCAGTTGGGACAATTTATCTTGAAAGTTCATTTTCATGGTATTTCAACAAATTATTGTGTGTAATATTAAAAACTAGCTTTAATGCTTGAGGAAACCTACATTAATAACAGAAAACCAATTAGTTGAAAAATATCTGAAAAGAGAAAAGAATACTGCTTTGGACAAGTAACCTTTTTGCAATTACAAAGAGTGTCTATTTGCCTTTCAGCTTGGTAACCTCATTTTCAGCATATTAGTTTAACATTTGAATTTAGTTTGAACTAAAGTTTGAACTAAAATGAAGCAGGGAAGAGAATAATTTCTTTTATAAATGTTGCTTTGAATCAAGTTAGATATTTACTGAAGGAAAATAATAATGCTGGCAAGAGTCCATGTATTAATTTTCATATCTGCTAGTCCCCATGCTGTGTATCTTCAACTAAAGATCTTTCAGTGCTGGTAGCAAATAGTTGTCAACATTTTTATGAGTATCTTGACAAGAATAAGTGTTCTTTTTTCAATTAATTGCCTTGTTTGAGTAAAACAAGAAATACATTTGTTCCCTTGTGTCATGTGTATAAGAGAAATGTCATATATTCAGCGTATATTTTAATTATTTTTTTAACATGCAGACCAATTTCTTTAAAACTTACAAATTTCAGCTGCATTATTAACATTTGAACTGTTCAGGTTTTGTAATTTTAAAACACGTTCCCCATGTATCAGCCTGGTTTGTGATTTGCTCAGTATTTTCTATGTAGCTGTGTATACCAAGATTTGTAATTTCAAACTGATTTTTCTTGCCTGAGATAGATTTTTTCCTTTTATCAAGCCTTCAGGTACTTTGGATCTTTTGAAATCATGTGTCCTTTCTCAGTGATTGTCACTGCTGCCCTCCTGTCAGGAATGGCCAGGACAGGCTGGGTTCCATGGGGTAGTGCTGCAGTGTGCCTGCTTCTGGGAAGCTCAGGAGGAGAAGCTCTGTACAGTCACCACTTGATTGGAAAGGGTTCCCTGTAGGTTTTTGCATACAAATTTAAATTTTTAAAATACAATTTAAATTTTTTCATTTAAGATAATGTTTAGCTTACATTTGTCTTCTGAACCTTTGCTGGTGTTGTAGTTGGTGTCTCTCAAAATAATCATTAAATATTAATACGTGAATATTTACTGGACTGACTAGGCTAATTTTTTAAATATTGCAGCAGCCTTAAAATCCCAGTTGCTGCTTCTACATTGGGCAGATTATAGTAATTGAGTAAAGATCTAATTAAGAATCCTCTTGCAAGACTGTTGTCCCAGTAGAGGGCATATCAAAATAGAAATGGTTCTTTAGTTCCACTGAAGACCTGAATTCACTGATTGTCTAAGTGAGGAGAAATTGAATCAGGTAGCTTTGCCCTGAGTGCTGACTTGACTGCACGATTTCCTCTGCTTTCCTTTAAAATGCTGGATCCCTCACATGGAAAGGATACACA